GGGGGGGGGAGGGTGAGAGACAAGGGCAGGTGGAAAGGGGAGTGGATTGGAGGTGGGCGGAAGGGAGCGGGGAGGCAAGATCTCAAGGCGTATGGGGATATATGTAAACAAATAAACAGATAAACAAATCAATCAAATCAAATATGCAAATTGTGTTCAGAACTTACAGTCTGAAGCCATCCCAAACTGCAGTCCTTATTCTGTTGCCCATGGTTTGGCCTTTCATCTGCAAATAAGATTAAAAAGGAGAGGAGGTAAAGGAGATCTTACTTCACGGTAGATATCATATGTACTATACAAGTGTTTGAAGAACGAAAGAAAGGCAAAGTATTTTTATAACATATATGTCACATCATCTACAGGCGGGAAACATAGGTGTGATTACCAAAAACTATTAATGTACATGCACCATTTATAAGAGAAGCACTCCTAGAACGTACACATCTACCTGTCACTTCATGAAAAAAATTGTTATTTTCTCGTACTAAACGCATGAGAGTAACTGCTATTAGTTTGCCTTCATGGTCACAGTGATTCACTAGGTTATGTAGGTGTTCAAAGGGGTCACTAATATGAAATTTCTCGAGAAGGACCCTGACAGTATTGTTTGCACGGTTGTACATGAACAGTATTATAGATCCGAAAATTTCTAAATCCTCATTCCACTCGCTACCTTTGAGGTAAACGAGGTCTTGGCGAGAAGCAGCTTTTCTCTTCAATATTTGCTACTGCAGTAGACCTTTCCGTGAACGACTAATCTGGAACTACATAGGCGAAGAACTTATATCCTATGATGATACTTAACGCATAACATGAACACATCTCAAAAAGTACTTACTATGGCTCATCTGAAGAGCGTGAGATTCTTGTTCGTTCGGGCTCTTGCAGATCCTTCAAATCGATGCGGCTATTCTTTGGGATGTAGCAGTGTTCATTTACGCGAACTTCGAGAGGGAATCTAAAGAGCATATCTGTTTTCACATGGTTACATCAGAAACTGCTATGTTACATCAGAAACTGCCTTTTTGTATGTTTGTTTTCGATTTTTTCTTTGAATGATTCAAACAGGGGGCTTTCATTGTTTTCGCTGCAGTTGTAGAACAAATTCCTGATCTTCTTAGTGAGTAGGTATCTAAGATATGAGTATTAAAAGTATACTCAGTAAGCGGGTTCAACCCACTTTTCAAGAATTAAGGATGCGCTATTCGTGGCTGTCTGATTCATCTTGAGTTGCAGCCTCCTGTGATGACTTTCAAAAGGCGCTGAGGTCCACTGATATAGGGATCCTTGGTGTAGGAGTTCAATGTCCATGGCATGATCAAAGAACCACTACGAAGTTATCTGATATTTGGGTTTAAGGCTTCAAAGAACCTACATGGCATTTCATTGTGAAGACCTTCTCTGCTGTGAGTAGCCATACGTCCCTAGTTTGCTGGGCCACATGTTGGATCATCTCTATCACTGTTGTTGTCAGATCCCTCTTTTTCGAAATCACTCTGATTGTTAACCAGTAACCAAGTAGTCCGGCAGCAGATACTGGACAAGTAATGGAATCAACAGCAGCTGCCAACGGAAACGCCACGAAGGCAAGCTAAACAAAAGAATCAAAAAGGATTGCATTTGATAAAATGGTAGTACCTCATCGATCTCAGCAGCTTTGCACGTAGGTATATCTTCTAATGATAAGATCAAGCTACTGGAGTACGTATAATTTGTAACTCCAAAAAGACATTGTCTAATGTTCTCCAGCTTCTCTCTATCGACTTTCAGTCCCGGATATATCGATGAAGGATTGAAGAGGTCTGGAAGAGCATGATATTACTTCCTGCACTTGCTATCCTCTACAAAGTGCACCTCTCAATCTGTTCCTCGTTATTCCTTCCGAACAGATGTGGAGGGCGCCTCCCAAAAAGTCACAGGGAGGCATGAGCTTCATCATGAAAGTTGCTGCTGTAAATTAAAGTGATCTAGCACACTCCTCGAGAAGTAACGCTACTTTACTCCGACGAAAACATGCTAACCTTGTTGACAAGTCTGTACCC